CCCCCCCCCCACCCCCGGCGAGGGTGAGGGGCTGCCTCCCGTCTGGAAGCTTCCTGCTCGCCCACGTTTACTGTGAGGTCGCCCGATCCCGTATAATTGAAGCCCTTTTGCTTAAAAATAGCTCCCCTGCAAAGTCGTTTGGAAAAAAAGCTTTTAAAAAAAAAAAAAAACTTTTTTTTTTTTTTTTTTAAAGATTTTTACTGGATGTAATACAAAATGATCTCTCTTTTTTAACAGCAAAGGGCTGGTTGCAGCGAGTTCCATATTCTCAGGTTAAACTTGTATTCTTCACCCTTCAGGTTAACTAGTTCCCTGTAAAATCTGGCCCTGGATGGGGAGATGGGGGGTGGATCGGGCATTCATACTTACTTGGGTCCTGGGACCTTCCCCACAATGAGTTCAAATGCCTTCCCTGAAGGAAATGGGAGCTATTTAAGGGACTCCCAACATGTACACGTACATGTATGTGGACGTGTATATGTGTGTGTTTATAGAGGGGGGTGTATTGTGGTCTTATTTCTACAAAAAAGCAGGAACAGCTTTAACATCCATCAGTGTGAAGCACTTGAATAAATCAAGGTACATCCACGAGATGGAATGTATGCTCTTAACAGGTAGATCTGTAAGTCTTGATTTGGAGAAATGAGCACGAAATATTAAGAAAAAGCAAGTTGCAGAGTGATCTTTATAATATGATCCCATACGAGATGGAATGTATGCTCTTAACAGGTAGATCTGTAAGTCTTGATTTGGAGAAATGAGCATGAAATATTAAGAAAAAGCAAGTTGCAGAGTGATCTTTATAATATGATCCCATTTTTTTAAAGGAAAGAAAGGAAAAAAAGTATGTTCGAATGTGTATGTGTGTTAAAAGGACTGGCGAGAATACGCACCTACATTGCTGCTAGCTGCCTCACTGGCCGTAGGGTGGAAGGAGGCGGTCTTAGCTACTCCTTACACAGAGCTTACGCTTGCATAGTTGTGTAGTGTGACTCACTCTAACGCTTTCAAAAAGACAGGCAACCACCTTATGCAATTAAAAATAAAATCCCAATAAGTAATGTAAAGGGAAAAAGGAAAACAGAAGGATGATCCACTGTTCTGGCTTAAATTGTTGCTACCCCCCAAGGGTGCTGCCATTTCTTATACTGGATGTAGACTAGGTGCTCACCAAAGTTTTTCCAATAACTCTGACTTTGAGCAAGTTGCCTCCATTCTCTGGGCCTCATCTACAAAATGAGAACATTAAAGTAGCTGATCTTTCAGATCTTTTCAAAACTATAAATTCCAGTAATAAGATGTCATTCCTATGAAAAGAATGTTATCTTGGGACATATTTCAAAGGCAGTTGAACCTGCCCAGTGCTGTATGTTGGGGGCTGGAGTGGGGAGATGGTGGTGTGGGGTTTCCACTGGGTGACCTGTAAGAGACTCATGATGTGGCCCTCAGGTACCCAATTAAGGCACAATGAGAGTCTTTGCAATAGGATTTAGGATTTTCCTTTTTCTTCTCTTTAAAAAGTTTTGCATGAAAAAGAGAAGAGTTGGTGTGGGGAAAAGAACCCGAGACAGAGCAAGGGACCACTCCAGATCAGCCTTCTCCTCTGCCCTGGGGATCTGTCTGCCACTGGTGAACTCTGAAGAGCCTTCAGTTCCCCAGGGAGGACAGCGCCCTGCCCGGAGACAGACGGGACGAGGCCAGGAGTCTTGGCTCTTGTGGCTGCTGCTGCCTTTGACTTTATCTTACCCCAGGAACTTCTCCTTGCCCAGCCACTCGTCCCCAGCCTCTTCCTCCAACTCACGAAAGGAATTGAGACACTCACCGAGGACCAAGAGGCGGACGCGTGACTTGGAGGTGCCGCCCAGGTCTGACATCAGCACAACGGAGCACTCGTAGGTACCGTTGTCGTCCATGGTCAGCTGACTGACGGTGATGGAGGCGTCTGAGTGCGCGGCATTGCCCGATATGTTGACGCGGTTCTCATAAAGGTCACCGTAGAGGTAGTTTTGGGTGGAAAATTTCCAGATGACCACCGATTCCTGGAGGAAGAGGAAATGGTCTTCACCCTAAGGCCCTGGCATGGTGCTTCCAGCCTCTCCTGGCCACTGTCACCCACCATCACCAGAGCCCAGAAGCATGGGCACGCCAACCCCTCCCAACACACAGCTCTGCCACATGGTGCCCTGTTGTGGAGTTCTTCTATTTATTTTTTAAATGCAAATATTGAAAGACCAGGGAAGCAGGCAGGCAGTTCATACCACAGGAGCCCGTGTAGATAAGTGAAACTGTCTCAGATCCCAACACTGCAACCTCTTGTTATAACCACTGGCATCTCTCTTGTCTCTTCTGTTCCAGTCCATTGTCTATTCTCACTCATTCTGTCAACCGGTATTTATTGAGCACCTACCATGCTCCAGGATCATGCTCGGCAGCCACGCTTGGCTTCCAAGCCCACTTTATTTACTTGAATCCTGCCTTTGGAACTTATTTATTCATTAACATAGTCATTGTTTATCAAACAGTATATGGCAGTGGCTAAAATCACAGACTTTCAAGGTAGACTGCTTCAGTTCAGATCCCAATTCTGCCACTTACTGGCCGTATGACCCTGAGCAGAATGCTTGACCACTCTGTGACTCTATTTCCTCCTCTACACAATGGGGATGGTGATAATAATAACACCTGCCTCATAGCATCGTAGTGAGGATTAAAGAACATAATATCTGCAAAGCAGTTAGAGCACTGGCTGACATGGTAAGTTTCTGTAAGTACTGAGCACCTACTAAGTGTCTGACATTCAAGGATAAATTATTCACGTGTTCTGCACTCCAAGAGTAATGAGGTGATAGTCAACCAAACGTTTCCACATCTTATGATTAGCTATGGAGCCCCTGAAGAAAGGTATCACTTCTAGGCTGAGAAGTCAGGGGAGGCTTCCTAGAAGAGGTGAATCCTGAAGAACAGCTAAGAGTTGGCCAGAGCTAGGGAAGTTGGGGCAGTGAGTATCAGAGTAGGATAAATGTGTTGGGCAATTCAGGCAGAGGGAGAACCCCAGGGAAAGACCTAGAAGTGGGAAGCAACATATCAACCCCACGTGGCTCAGTATGAATGGAGGCGAGTATGTGAGTGGGGGATTGGTGGGAGGGGAGCCTGGGTAGGCAGCAGTAAAGATCAGAGCTGCTATTTATTGAGTGTGTGCTATGTGCTGGATACCATTCTAAGCACATGGAATTATCTCATTTAATCCTCACAACACCCCTGAAGGAGGTGTTATGATTATACCCATTTTACACATGAGGAAACCAAGGCACCAAGAGATTAAGTACCTCTCCCAAGTTCACACATTTAGACAAATGTCAGGGCTGAGATTCAAACTGGGCACTCTGGCTCCAGAGCCTGAACACTGGATATTCCACAAAGCCAGACATCAGACACTGTGCATGTGGCACCAAGTAGTTTGCATTTTATCCCAAAGGCACTAGAGAGCCATGTATTTCAGGGGGTTAGCTCTTGATACAGGGTGGAAAATGAATTGGAAGGAGAAAGGGAGCATGTGGCACCAAGTAGTTTGCATTTTATCCCAAAGGCACTAGAGAGCCATGTATTTCAGGAGGTTAGCTCTTGATACAGGATGGAAAATGAATTGGAAGGAGAAAGGGAACCTGTTAAGAAATCAGTTTAGCAATTCAGGTGGGAAACGGTGAGTTCTCAAATAAGGATGTGGCAGTGCAGACAGACAGATTGAAAAGAGTTTGAGGAGTGTGAGGAGGTAGACCAGTGAGACTTGAGATGGACTAAATGTACAGAGTTAGGGAGTGGCAGATCTCAAGGGAGAGGGTTTTTGGCTTGGATGTTTGGGTGATATCATTTCCAAGGGAGGAAACACATAGGAACAGAATATTTTAAGAAAAAACAATGTGTTCTGTTTACGTGTGGGGTGCCCGAAGTGTCCCTGGACACCTAGTGTAACTGAGGTGAAGGTTTGACAGTCAGCAATGTGTTGATGTTCACTGAGACATGGGCTAGATGAAGCCACCCACGGTAAATAAGTAGAGAAATGGCAAGTCCCCAAGTTACTTCATTCGAAGGGTCAAGAAGAGGTCAGAGAGATAAGAGGAAAAGCCAAGACAAGACTGCCAAAAAGCCCAGGCAGGAGGACTCCAAGATTGGAAAATGATTGATAGTGTGAAACGCTAACAAGAACTGAAATAAGATGACTGAATAAAGTATATTGAATTGAGCAAAAGAGAAAATGCTGGTGATTTCAGCAGGGTGTTAGGGGCAGAAGCCAGCTCATGGCGGGGAGAGGGGAGAATGCGGAGACACTGTGTCAGGTCTGATGCCTGCACAAGCAGTGTGCCCTTTGTGCAAATGAGAGTATGGTTTTCAGACAAACACAGCCTGTGTCAGGGCACACACTTGGCTAACGGAGCACAGGCCCCTGCTGGATACTCTTGTGAGAGGCACAATCTGTTCAACCACATGGTATGTGACAGCCCTGGTATGGCAGACAAGTCTTTCAGGAAGCTTGGCTGAGAAGGGGAAGAGAAACATGGCGGGAGATGAGCAGGTGTCTCAGGCTGGGGACCAGTCCATGGATGCTGGTCTTTCCCAGCTCAGCTCTTTTCTGACCCTGGCTAGCTGTGCCCAGGATTCTCCTCCCTGAATTCTCCTCCCTTCAGAGATATCCTAAGGCTTCCTGCCTGGATCTCCCCCTGGCCACATCCCTTGCTAGGACCTGTCACAATAATCTCCTTGAGGGAACAGATTTAATCCCTTTCTCTGCACCTTTGCTTCCTCTCCAGGGAATTGCCTCAAATCCTTTTGGAACTAAGGGATCCATCAGTCAAGAAAATAACTTTAGTATCTACCTCAGCACCCAGAAAAGAGTCAGGCATAGACCTTACATCTGGTTTGCTGAATATATGTGATGGTGGGAGAAGGTGTCCTTCAGTTCCTGCAGGCAAAAGGCAGCAGCTTTCCTCTCCAGGTTTCCACTCTGGGGCTCTGGGAGCAGACAGGACACACAGCCGTGGGACCTCAGGGTCCCCTGGTGCATCAAGCCAGGACGTGCTCTCCTACCCCATCTGCCTGCCACTCTAGGACTTGGCTGCCCTGGGCCACCCCTTCTTTCTTGTCAAGGAAAAAGCTAAATCCTTTCACTTGGAGTGGCCAGGGATCTAATGCTTACCTCTGCCCAGTGTGTGTGTGTTTTAACAGGAGACCTCACTTCTGAACTTATGAATAAATGCTCCACTTGTTACAACTAAAGAAATGTGAATTTCACCACTAATTTGATACTTTTTTCACTTATCAAATTGTCAAATATCAAACAGCTTAAGAACACTGTGTTGGAGAAATTGGTGCCCTCACTGTTGTTGGTGAAAATGAAGACTGGTAAGACACCTAATGAGAGCAATTTGACATTATTTATCAAAATTTCAAATTCACATACCCTTTGACCCAGAAGTTCCACTTTTAAAAATCTATCATGTATATGTATAAACACACATACGAGGGTACTTCAAAAAGTGCAGGGAAAGATTTGTATTATC